ATTATAAGTGACAGCAAGACATGGTTAAATCTGCGTGGGAATAATAATTATAATTATAATAATAAAGCAGTTTTAACTAAAGCGAATGTACAAAAGAGAGAGAGAGAGAGTTAAAATAAACCCGAATAATGTTACTGAAAGAATGCTACTCCTGTCAAGAGACAGACCTATCCGACATATTTAAGTGTGACTGATCCATCTATAGAAGTGATATATAAGTATTTATATAATTATAATTGTAAGACTTCCTTCAATGTAAAACAGTTATGAGTTTAGCAGGAGATCATAGTAACCTATTTCAAGGTTGTGCCTTGAAATTTTAATATGAAGACCTAAGGAAAATCACGAAATTCTCAGCCATGATATCCGGAAACTCGATATGATTCGATCCATTTACCTTATAAATATAAGTCTATATACCGCTAAACTGACCTGATTTGTCAATGAGGTTGGAGATGCGAAACAAAGAAGAAGCCACGGACTGTACTTTATAACTTTTTAGGGCGCTTCGATTATTCTCATTTTTTTTTCTGACTAGTATATATTTTGGAATATTAACGCGATACCAGATAATTCAGGCTGTCACAGCAATGCGTCTTCTGCGATATTATATCTTGTAGTCTCGAGAAAGTCACCGACGTTTCGAAAGGCCCAATAAACTTCTTCAGGGTCAAAGATTGAGGCAAAAATTTGTTCTAAAAATCTTTAAATTTCTGCCGCACTATATACTGTATATTCCAAGATCTCAATTTAGAGATTCTGTACGAGATATATAGGTATGTATTTCTCCTGTCTGTGTTATACGTTTATAAATACTTTGATCTTTATTTTATGTGTCCAAAAGGGTGTTTAGACAAGTGGATTAATTAAATTTGCTAACAACAATTCACGCTTTTTGAAGCCGCTTGACCCAGAAACTTTCATAATACGATGAGAGAAAACTTAACTCTCTTTGGATGCTATAATTAGTTCAAATTGTACAGTTCGCCCAATTAACAAACTATAAGCACGAGTGTTCTGCCATAGATGTTCTAAGATTAACCTCATAAAGCTATCTCTAGGTGTATCTTGGTCTAGCGTAGAAGTAATGGCCATAAAACTAGTTCTTTTAAACTCGTCACGGTACTAACAAGGTACTTCACTCATACACAGGAGACTGCACTCACTCTGAATATATCGTTTTGTATAACATCGGAGATGCTGCACTCTTCGCGGTGAAAGGTAAATTAACTATATTTACACGTGACCTCACATCCACGGAAATGAAGAAGAGTTATGAAATGTGATGAGAAGTGCGGCATATGTCTTATTCATTAAATTATTCGTAGATTCTCAACAGTCGTGGCATATTATTTTGAAAATTTTCACTTTTTTGCAAACTAATCTTGATGATGTGAAGTGTAATCATCTGGTTGCCAAATCTGGGATCTACAATATTTCATTTTTACAAATATGATGGACCTTTATATACATCGATGGCGGGGAATTTATTAAACAGGAGTAATCATCAAATTCACAATACAAATATACACAGTAAAACCTGACTAATTTGAAATTCGCGATAATTCAAATAATTATTTCTTTTCTTTTGCGCGTTACGAGCTTGATCACATTCCCTCCATCAGCAAGACGTAGCAAAAGAACAGCACAAAAAAGGAACACAAACGAAAATAAGTTAATATTTTGATCACAGTCTCAATAATACTAAGTACGTGTATGCAGGATAACCTAAAGTGCTTCTAAGACTTGTCGCTTTGTCTGGTTGTAATGTTTGTACACTGTGTGTACCTTGTTTATTGTATGTATTTTGTTTTGTATTGTTCCCTTATATTATAGACTTTCCTTGTCTGTATCAGTGTAAGTTCTACTGCCACTAGGTGAACACCCAACTGCAGTAAATTAATAATAATAATAATAATAATAATAATAATAATAATAATAATAATAAAGCGCCCTAAGATAACAGAATAACAAGAAAATCTTGTAGAATGTGATACTAAGGTTTTACCAGACTACACGAATTCATATTCCAGAAGATACCACTCTTCAGAACGGAGAGTGTGAGAACCTTAAATCCAAACTGTAATAACAGATTATTCAAATTCCACTTGAATGCACCAGTTCCTCGATTCCTCTTTGCAATAACGTTCTGCAAGGCATGAAACTGCATCCAGAATTAGTGCCTCACAAAACAACTTTCGGAAATGAGCAGTATGCAGCATGTCTTGGTAAGAATTTCTGCTTCATATACCTGCCCTGAAGTAAAATTTTCATGGGCATTTCCATAACCTTGCAGTCGGCTGTGCAGCCCTCCCGCTTTATAGTTCCAAGGCCCTTGGTTCAAATATATCGAATTACGGGTGAATATTTTAGTGGATTACTTCAGATTGACCAGTAAATGCAAGTCTAATTTTTTAAATTAGGCCGCGAACGTTTCCTTCCTTATCCTTGTAATTTCTCTGTTCAGTAATCAGCGCATCATTCGACGATGAAAGCTAGTGAAAGGAAATTTTCTGTTGCTCTTAACGTTATTCCGAAGTAAGTTCGGCGTGAGATTCTCCGCCATCCGAACGCATTCGTAATGAAGAGTGACTGGTTTTAATATTTGTGTTGTGTGTTCTCGTGTCTGCTGTTGCTTGATTCACAAGTGGCGTGCTGTAAAGCAATTAGGGAGGACCTCGCCTTTCTCAATAAGCCATAGTTAAGATCGACCAGACTTAACGACTCAGCACTCAAGAGATTCACATATGATAACCAATTTAAAAGATCAGTTCACACCAGCTGAAGCCTTCTCCCTGCAAAATGTTTAGCGCACTTCATACTTATGTAAGTTTATGTTCACTTCACAGTTCATAGGAGGCGAGCAGGGCAGTGGTTGCTGTTGAGCCTTTGCTGCAACATACTCAACAGGGAGCAGACAGGGCCTTATAACGATGCTGCAGTAACAAAAGAAGTAGGGCTACCTAAGTCGGATAGATGCAAAGACGGTGGAAACCAGGAGAGGTGTGTTGTACACTTGAATAACGGCGCTTTTTTTGCACAAATGACGCAACAGATTTGCATTCAGAGTGGACGAAAGCTGATACGATAACTGTAACGGAGCATCACTGAGCTTGAATGACGGTTGGCGACACGTGCAAGACACTGCCTAAGAAGTAGGGATACATATTTAAGGTTATGACACTCAAACGCTAAGTTATACTGTAACAAATCTGATCAAGCGTTGCCAGGAAATAGCTCTGTAAACACGGTCCAACATGCAACAACAGATGAGGCTGTTGTCTATGTAGTCCGCGCCGAGCAACGGTAGAACAATGGGGTTATGCAACCAGTTTATAAGCAAAGGCTCCATAAGTACACTTCCGCGTAAGCGGTGACGTCAGCAACAATAGAGACGGTGTTTTTCGTGAGGTATGTGCAGAGTGGTTATGAGAGAAGTGAATGAAGGGACAGAATTCGTTCAGGGCAGTTACGAGTCAGCCGTAAGCTGGAGGAGTGAGTTCAGAAGAATTTTTAGTTCAGAGGTTCCAGAGCGATTGAAGACGAAATAGCAAGAAGACTTCGTAGTGATCTGAAGCGCTAGTTTCTGCGTTGAGATCCGTTGCCAGGAGACGACTAGTGAAGACAGACACTAGTGCGTGCATAACGGTGAACAGGATATTGTGTAAAGCAGCGATAGCTCTGTATTAATTGTGATTAAGAGAACTTATAGCCAAGGTGCTAATGAATCCAATCATCCGAACTAGAACCCATCATTTTCGTCACGCGTACCCCCTTACACGTGACAGTACGTTGGACTAAAGAACTCCTAAGCGTATGTAATAGTAACTGCTAGTATAAAAAAGAGACATTCTGCAAAAAGAAAATTTATCGGAAAACATTTTATACAGGATTAAATATTATCACTCACTATTTTTTTATATATAATTTATTAAAGACCTTCGCCGAAATAACTCGCTCACAACGAAGCAAAAACTTCTGGCTAACTGTAGGTAGATATTGGTTTGTGCGTGCAGAGCTCTGCATTATGACTCCATACATTGCCTGAGAAGGGGGGGGGCAACTGTATGACATGTTTATGCTAAAAGCTGTCGCCGCTAACATGGACGGGAGGAACATTTCGTCTAGAATCTCATTCTTTTCAGGCACCAGAATGTCTGACCTGTTTAACTTTGTATAAAGGGCATTATCTACTCCAGTAAGCAAAGATTCCATTCAGTAACTTTCTCCTTTGCAATAACTTGTGCAGTGATTCTGAAGTTGAATGAGGACGAATTCTATGCAGAGGGAGCCTTGAATGGTGGGTAACTAACAGGCTGTGAACGTTTTCTTGTAGTTTCTCTCTAGGTCCGTGCTACTGGGTAGTTGTACAGTTTAAATATCTGAGCCTCTTCAGAAAGCTGGATCGGCGGAAGGGAACACAGCACGAATTGTTCCAAGTTTGGTTGTGTGGTTGGGTGAGTGTATGAAGAAGCAAGCCAGCCGCAGCGTTGATGAATGAGCGCTGATACACTATAAGTTTATCCCTTTATCACAAACACACGTAGGCACGCGTGCACACACAAACACAAAAGCTATCATATCCGTTATTCGCTCATTTTCTTAAATAAATTATTGTGTAACAACGACAGTCCTTATTTATTGTTGGGTATTTATTTTTGGCAGTTTTATGCATACATATCTCTGTTGACCAGAAAAATATTTACTGAAATCATATGCGTATATACTACCACAGTCAATAAGTTCGTGGACTTGCCGCAAAACGTCGTTGCAGCGCACTACAGCGGGTAGATTGAGGAAAGATATGATGCCCTGTCAGTTCATCTCTCGTCACAGCAAGAGGCAGTTGTGTGTAAATAGTGTAAGCAGAACTATGACCTCTATTGTGAACTGCAGTTAAATGCAAGTGGCGGAAATCGAAGATGTGGCAATTTGAACAACGGGCAAACATCAAGTTCTGCCAGAAACTAGGCAAATCCCCTAGCGAAGTGTTTAACATAATGAAGCAAGTGTACGGCAAAGAAGCTTTGGGACACAGTGCCCTGTTTAAGTGGCACCAACGTTTTGGGCAGGAGAGATACAGTTTGGAGGATGATGAGCCTAGTGGTCGGCCAAAAGCGGTCACAACTGAACGCAAGTTCGAAGAAGTTGCAACGTTGATACGCGCCAACCGCTCCCAATCGATAGATGATATCGCAGCAGCAGCAGGTATAAGCCATGGTACGTGCCACAAAATTCTCACTGATGACCTGAACATGTCGCGTGTTACCGTGCACTGTGTTCCACGCGTCCTAACGCAAGACAACGTGACGATCGCATGACCATTTGTGGTGATCTGATCAGTAGTGATGACGAAGATGAGCAGTTTCTCAACCGGATCATTACTGGAGACGAAACATGGTGTTTTCTTTACGATCCAAACTGAAGCGACAATCGGTCACCTGGAAATCGCCAACATCGTCAAGAAAGAAGAAACCGCGGCAGGACATATCAAAAGGCAAGGTGATGCTTGAACTGTTTTTTGACTCGTCTGGAAATGTTCACACTGAATTTATTCCACACGGGACAACTGTAAACAATGACAGGTACAAGGAGATCCCTATATGCGATTCAGTTCGTCGTAAGCGTCCTGAGCTTTGGCATAGGAAGAATTGACTGTTGCTACACGACAACGCCCCTGCACATCTCTCTGTTCTTGTCCAAGAGGAAATGACAAGGCAACAGGTCACCGTTTTACCACACCCTCCGTACTCGCCTGATCTCGCACCATGCGATTTCTTTCTCCTTCAGTCGTTCGAGATCGTCAATGACACAGGAGACGCCGTATGGGAATTTCCTGCCAATATGTTTCAGCAATGTTTTCGGCAGCTATATCAACGTTGGCAGACTTGCATAACGGCCAATGGCAACTATTTTGAGGGCCGATGTGGATCTGTGTAAGTGTATGTGGATACCTTGTAATATGATGAGATAAAAATCACAGTCCACGAACTTAATGACTCTACCACGTGTGTGTGTGTGTGTGTGTATATATATATATACACACACACGTGGTAGAGTCATTATTACTTTTATTATACTACACGGTGTCGTATCTTAAACGTGGCGACGTTTAAGATGCGACACCGTGTAGTATAACAAAAATTTTATCAACGTTTCGTACGAAAGTGTCGGCTTCATCTTCAGAGTAGAACAGTAATTGAAATTTTAAGTATACATTCCCGTTGACAAAGAAGTGTAAAACGTTACCTTCTTACTGTACTGAAAAGAAAGAATTGTTTATTTATGATAACCGTCTCATAAATATAGACCTGTGCATTAACATTGAATAAGAAAATCTTATTTATGATCACCGCGACGCATAATAACAGCTCATGCATGCAGTATATGGAATCAAGTCGAAGCACGTTACAGAAGGTTTACAGAGTGCATACATACTAGTACATGTTTTCTGTATTTCTTACAACAAGCTCTTTGAAGTCTCAATTTTCTGGGTCAATTCTAATCCTATCAAGTTGCTGAAAGACTAAATCGATTCCATAAATGCTTCCATTTCGAAGTCCCGGCACTTGGACGGACGCCAGCTCGACGCAATTACGTGCATTAAAGACATCCATACAAAGTTATAAACTTTGCTGACGTAAGTTCAAAATTGTAAATCTTTCCAAAGAGTTTCCTAAAGTCTCCACGTTTGTAACTTTTCTGTTACAGAAAATTCGACACTGATTTCAAACCACTAATTAGGGAGAAGCAACATCTGATATCACGAAACTTCACGCACACAGCTAAGCTTATCCCACTTCTCAGTTCCAGTTCCTTTTATGGAACTAAAATCCACAAGAGGTCGAAAATGAAATTACTACTTGGTTAAGACTATTATTTTGGATTTCGTCTTTCGTCCCAGTCTTTTAAACAACTGCATTTCTTATTTTCGCCAACATACAACTACCCTGCAGGGTGCCTAAATTCTACCTACCTACCTATCTACCTTGCCTGCCTACCTGCCTGCCTGCCTGCCTGCCTACCTACCTACCTACGCACCCACCTACCTACTCACCAACCTGCCTGCCTGTCTACCTACCTACCTACCTGCCTGCCTGTCTGCCTGCCTACCTACCTACTCACCTATCTAGCTACCTGCCTACCTGCCGGCCTACCTACCTACCTGTGCCTCTACAGCCCTTGACAACCTTGGCCGCTTTTTCATTTCCTTAATCCTATACACAGTCGGCAGGAATCCTTGGACGGGGGATCAGCCCGTCGCAAGGCCTTGCCTATACACATAACAACACCAACACAAAACAAAAGCACATAATACAGACATCCATGCCTCGAGTGGGATTAGAACCCACGATTCCAGCTTTCGAGCGGGAGAAGACGGTTCATGTCTTAGACAACACTGGACGAATTCTTGGGAACGATGTTTTCTATTCGGTCCGTGCAAAGTGGTTATAGAGAAGAGTTCAGTTGATAATCGGCAGTCGAGTTCCGGAGTTTCAAGTTAGCAGTTAGTCGCGAGTTGGGCTCTGCAAGGGGGAGTTGAGAAGATGGCGCTATGAGTTCAGGTGTGGAGTGTTAACCAGCGGAAAACGGCGTGACCGCGGAAGTTGAAGAATCTCCACTGTGTTAAATCTGTTGCCAGGAAACGGCTAATGGAGACTGTACTAGATTGAGGTCACTAGTCTCTGTGTGTCAGTGATGTGTAAAGTGTAATTTATAGTGGTGTACACAAAGTGGTTAATTAATCCCTTTACCGGCTCATACACCGTCTATAGTCAGACGCCCATAAATGAGTGAATGAGTGACAATATTAATAAAGTTTCACTTTATGCGCAAAGTTTGAAATAATGAAAATCCTCCCCCAAATTCTTCAGAAATCACGTATGCGTTTCAAAACGTAACCTGATTTACGAGAGTTTTGATTTCTGTGAATTCTCCAGGAACGCATCCCCGCATAAAACGCTACAGCAATGTGTTCCTCCGAAATTTACGGCGTCACAAATATGGAAGTCATGCTCTTCATAGTCAGCCCCATGAGAAGCGCGAACCTAAGATCCAGGACCTCACCTGAGCTGGAATATACGAGTACTCGAAGGATTCAGTTTCAGAACCTGCAAGGTATTCAATAGCCGATTATTTAAAATAAAACAAGCACTTGACACATTACAATCCAAAATCATACATGCTTAAATAGATACAAAAATGTGACTATTCTGAAGTAAACAAATATAGAAAGATGACTGAAACTGAAAAGGAATCCAAAATGATGTTATATTTTAGCGTCCTGTTGCACTGATTTATGTCCATGATTTATTCTGACCGTCTTACAGTGCATACATTTATTCACCTAAACCTACACATACCTAGCAGGCCCAGCAGTATAACACACGCAGTCACAGAAGCAAGACACAACACAAAGCACAATACACACAAGAAAGTAGGAAGAATACTCCGATAGAAGAAGATAGGTGTGACTTGCGTATTGAAATACGACATAAGGATGACAAATCCTGAACAGTTTTAATATTTAATATTTATCAATATATATGACGAATATATATTTTAGTTATTTTAGAATAAAGACAACAGGTCATGCAATAAAGTAGTTCGACGTACAACGAAAAGCACCTGAAGATGGCACTTTTGTGCTGAAACATGTAGTGCAAGAGAGAAGAGTAAGGTGAATAAATGTATGCACTGTAAGACGGTCAGAATATCATGGACATGAATCCAAAATGATCAATAAGGTGGGCGCTTCTGCTACACAGTATCAATTAACAATAAACGTTCAGAATGTACATCGAACGAAAGTGAACACTAGATCAGGATCGGATGATTGCAGCAAGCCAAAATGCCGTGATGTATTGAAATGCGAATCAGTTCCGGGAGTGTTTGCCGAGCCAAGTTGTACTTCCCCCACGCAGGTGCGGCATCTAGAAGGGACAGGAGGATGATATGCTCCATAGTTAACGCAAGTGCCCTGGCGGGAAGTGATGTGATTGCGTTGCGAACCGCTCCGGTCGTCTCATCTGGTAATCAGTAGGTGCGTGATAGTGGCAACACTGTTGGGACTGTTAGTCAGATTTACCCTATCGCCCCAAATATTAATCGGGTGGTCAAACCATGGAAAAAGAGACTAACGGAGCAAGTAGCATTCTTCGAAGTGATATGAAGGTGACAGTGGGACAACTGAAAGGAGAAACTCAACTTGGGAGACCTAGGACAAGGCTAATATTGAAGCAAATCATACGTAATTTTATAGTCGTCTCATATATGATTCGCAAGTGGGACTGAGTCTGCTTGGTACGCCGGACACTACTGTACCAGCCTTGGATGACAGATGAGTATGTATATTATTCTGTGGAATAAAAACCGTGCAGATGAAATCAGAGTACTCCGAGAAAACCTGCCACAGTACCACTAAGTCCACCACAAATCCCTCAGAACTTCACCTGTGGCCTGGGTTTGAATTCGGGTCTCCGTAGTGGGAAGCCAGCAGCTAACGGCCTGAGATTTGGCAAGGCCTGAATTCTGTTTCATCCGAGACGTTGTATGCCCGTTGTATCAAGTTCGAGACTATACTCAGTTGCTGGGTCCGATCGAAGTGCTATGCGACTTTTAGGTATATGTCGCCCTCTGTTGGCTTCATTTGCGCTCTGTTGTCCAAGGATTCATCATCACTCCTCCAGACTTCTGTGGTAAACCTTTCCTCTACGTCTTGAACTGAACGCAACGATGGATACTGTTTACATGGCAGAGAGAATTAGCCACTATAAAAGCCTGAAATCAGTGTCTTAGATAAAGAGTGTGCATGTGTGTCTGGATAGGGACCAGTGACACACTCTTGTTAGCACGAGAATGAACCTTCGACCTACAGAGAATATAGGAAATTTCTTGGCTTTCTGACCAACTGTTGGCTTCTCAAGAGCAAGTCAGTTAAGAGACCATCATGTGCCGACTACTGGACCTGCACTGCGTAAAGAATCCAAAATATTCGAGTCATGTCCCCAAATGTCTGTTTCCATTCGCAGCTCAAACCGCGGACTCAGCAAAGCTGTGGAAATGTAACGCACTTCAGTACCTGCCGTGCATAGACAAGATTCGCGTGACTAAAAGCATTCGGGCTTTTCCCCCTAGGTGCTGGAACAAATGACTATGAATGTTTGTCATATTTACTTCGAAAAGTGGAATAATGTGGACAGCAGAGTTATGACCCTACAGAGTATGGTACGGAAGAAACAGGATTCCTGTTATACACAATCATCAGTGCGGAATACGCACGTGTGTCACGTCTTCAGTTCCGTGAGTGTGAATATTTTGGAAAATACAAAAACCTTCATCATCCCTGCAGGACAAGTTTAGACCTGGCAACATATTAGGCCAGCAAAGTCTGTGGTTGCGTGTTCGAATTACGCTACGGAAATATGTACGTATTAATCACTGTTTATGAGTATAATAAAATGTAAAATTTCCTCAAGACTGGCAATTATTTTTTGATGTTCATTACTGATAGAATTCGTACTGATGATTTGGTAGAGTTTCAAAATTGTTTATAAGAAAGAGATATTACGTACTGTTTCTAATACCGGTATTTATTGTTCAAGTGACAAAGTTGGTATGGTTCACCTATTATAGAACATTTTCGAAAATTCCACCGTCAACATCAATGCATTTTGCAACTCGTGTGAGGACATGGCGTGTTGCTCGTCTGTACAGTGAACAGTGAAATGACTGTATCTCGGAAACCGTTCGGAATAGGAAACATGTACATGTAAAACTTTTGCTTAGAATGACCGATACTATGACCTCCCAGAATATTGACCATTCCTCCTGGGGCACTCTGTATATTAGTGAAAGGTGAAGATACTGCCCCCTCGTCATGTCTCTCCCGTAGGCGTGATGCAGTCGTTAATGGAAGTATTAGTTCCTGGAATCTAACGGCTCACATTTGGAACAACTTCAGATACTCTTAAGAAGTCCTTGAAAGTTTGAAGGCGTTTAGTGTTTGAGCTCTACCTCTAGCCTCGAGAACCCTCCAGAAAAGTCTCATTAACTTTTGGTAAAGTACATTCGGCCAATCACAGTCCAGTAAATGCGAACTTTCTTACGAATACTTACATACTATAACGACTTCCAGAGTATTAAGGAAGGTGAGTACTAACTATGCTAATTTGATGATAAAGGGATTTGTTGCGGCACATATACAGTATAGGAATCAGATAAAGAGGCAGATGTGTGCCTTGCACGGTTTTCATGGAAGATAGAAATGCCGGGCTCGGTTTAAACCTGAGCAGTGTCACGTTGATGATAAAGATTCTCAGTAACATAAAGTGATAAGCCGCGCCATAGCTCAAGCGGTTAGTCGCTAGCTTCCCACTGCGACGGCCCGGGTCTGGTCAAGTGGGATTTGTGGTGGACAATGCGACGATGGGGCGGGTTTTCTCCGAGTACTTCGGTTTCCCCTGCCAATCTTCATTCCACCAAATTCTCCATCATCATAATCACTCGGAGCAGGTACAGTGGGCCAATCAGTGGCCGCCGTACCGAGTGGACACAGTTGGACTCCACCACACCCCCCCTCCCCCACTAAGCGAATTAGAAGAAACATAAAGGGATGGGATCATTGTACCGATTTCTCTCACAGCTAAGAATGCACAACACAGGAAGGTGAAATAATTGAGCCCTAATTTATTTTATGTAACGAGGCTTTCGATGTGGAGACTGTAGAGCGTGGGGAAGTAGGATAGATAATGAGCTGGAAAGGATATGCATGGAAGTGGTCATGGCCTACTCGAATTCTCCAGACCTTTGCCTGGAGGGGCTAAGGAAGATGAATTAAAATGTTGCTTGTTACGTAGTGCTTAAATGTCTCATACATAAATACTATTCCTGTTGGTGTCCGTCACTGCAATTATGCCGCTACAAGATGCAGTTATCCATGCCCGTTGTTTTGATCGTGGTCCAGTGTGCTTTATTTCTACTCCATTTGATTCCCTTATGGAGCGGGTTTACTGTTCGGAACTAGTTGTTGTCATGCTCCATTATTATTGCTAGTGGAGTGGGACTAAGTCCCTTGTACTGCTGCCACTTCTGGTCTATTGTACCAGCACCCTGTTCTCGAACACCCTCAGTCTATGTTCCTCCCTTAATGTCAGGGACTAAGTTTCATACCCATACAGAACCACAGGGAAAATTATAGTTTTGTATATTCTAATTGACCTTGGGAACAGAAGAGGATATTTTCATTTGAAGGAGAAAGCTGTAGATCGCATCAAGTGGAGGAACTGTTTTGGAAGAGACTGTGGACCTGTCGTCTTGACAGATTAGAGATGAATGAATGAATATTCTAATTGTTATATTTTTAGACATATATCTTTCGAATATACTAAATATAAATTTTTATTCTTGTAGCTAACCCTACTTGTCTGTTCCATGACGCATTATCAACTGAAAATATTACATAGATGTCGCCTCGAAAGGAAGAATGAAATGATATGGAAGCAAGGAGCATGTCCACTAGCCACAACATGCTTGACACGACAGGAACTGAGCCCGAGACCTCGTGAACTTCAATCAGTAGCGTTAACATCTTTACGGCGATATTGGGTGGCTGGTCACAGTTTACCTTACAGACTGCAGAAAAACATAGTTTCCAGCCGACTGAGTGAAATGAGCAAATGCAAACAAATTTATGCAATTCGCAATGTCTCCCCGTTTTGCAACATTCCACATATTTGCGGAATGACGCTAATATATTCATGTCATAATTTCGCACAGAGTTTCAAACGCCGAATTAATGAACTGTGATTTATTTAGAACTCCTTCAGCTTATTTATATGTTATCGGCACATGGATATTGCGGTTCTAGAAGTCTCCCTGTTCTCGGAGAATGGTCCTGTGAGAGGTAAACTAGTTAATGATTTGCATGCATACGCTGCTACGCAGATTCGAAATCGGAAAATAGAAATTCCCCAAATAAACCAGGACTGCTATCCAGCCTCCACTGCATTCCGTCCGAATACTTTAGCTCAGAGGCAAAGATGGCATTGCTAGACAGCCACTCGGATCCTA